ACATGTACTTACTGGGTTACTGGGTTTCACTATATTAAATGAATGGTACATATTTATTTGTTTGTACTTGTTCTACTCTATTATAAGTGTTATTATTTTTGATGCTCAGAGTTTTCACTATTACACCTGTAACAGTTAAAACACGATGAACTGGAAGTTTAAGAACCCAATAAAGAAATAACTATTTTATATATATATATATGTGTTTTATTTTTGGCTACAGCGTGGCTCGATGCTTTTCCTGCGTGGACCCCAGGTCCAAATTAAGGTCCCAGCAGGTCCGTATGTGTGCCAGGTGCACGCTGGAGAGGTGCGAACAAAGGTGCATGTGTGTGGTTTTGAGTGACAGGTGTGTGAAGGAGGCTGCGAGGACATTGGCTGACGGAGGGTGTCACGGGCAAAAAGCCACATCACAGAGACACGACCTCTCTGCGGTGGGTTCCTCAGAGGACAAGAGGGTGACGAGAGACCGAAAGCAAATTTATCTACCGGCTAACGAAAGGTCATTCAGTGGGTCTTCTCCTGTACATGTACACATTGTGCATTTAGTTTTACTTTGCTAACTGCATCTGAAGGTCTCTTAAGATCAAATAACAAGGGATGTTGTTGAGGAAACATTTGATGTTTCAGTAGTTGTAGTGAAGATTTATAATGGGTTATTTGCATGTAAAATCTAGTTTCTACTGTTTTTACTTTTTCTCTGTTGCTTTTACTTCTACCTTTTGCTTTTGTCGCTAAACTTTCTGAATTCAAAGTAATGAAAGGTCAACACCAACACTGGTGACTTTCAGCGTTGACTGTTGTACGTATTCTTTCTTTCCCTTATTGTTTTTGTTCAGTGTGTTTCTGTTTGTAATTTTCCCACCTCTCCTGTCTTGGTGTCGTCACATATTTGATATTTAGCACTTTATATTCCCATAATATTTGTACTGCATGAGCATCTCTGCAAATGTAAATCCTGACCGGAATATTTAAGACACAAAAGAAACCAAATAACTGGCCAGTTATTTGGTTTGTGGACACAATCAAAACTGATACACACACGTTGCTTGCATCACTACAACAATGTGAAAAGATGGGACATGAACGAGCATGCTCATAAGAACCAGGACTATTGACATGTAGGTCGACCACAATACACACCAATCATTAAGCCTCACTGACACAACTGTATAGAAATATAACATACAAGCAAATACTGACAACGTAAATACTCCACAGAGAAATACAATATCTGGATTGCGGCTACAGCCACAGGCTAGTTTCTCTGACCATGTAAAATATTGTAACGTTAATAACTGAATATATAAATCTGAATCAGCTTCAGGTGTAGCCATGTGCTTCCAACAGGCCGGAGTGTCACATCGCAGCCTTTCATCAGCTGCCTGCATCGGATCAGCAGCCGTCACTTATTGAACAGTCCAATAGGAGTATTGAGACACTTCAGGATGGACGGAGGATTTTACTCCCATGAAAACTGCTCCAACACTACAGGTCTATGCTGCAGCTGGCAAGGTGTTCCTGCAGCTTTGAGTTTAACTGTCTTGAGTGTTTTTAATCACTTTTAAAATATGCCCCCTCTCTGCTATTTTTAAACTGTGTTTAATGTGTTTGACTTTGTTTCTGTCTGTCTTGTCTGTATGTTTCTGTCTCGCCTCCCTGTCGCTACATAAAGTCCATCTCCCTTCCATCCATCGCTGCCATACAAGGTAACTCTTGCAGCCAGAAACTACATTCTTTCCCGGGGATTAACATAGTTCCTCTCAGCTGCGGAGACAAATCATATCCACACGAGTTATAAATAACTGAGCTGGAGGAAACGTGGGGCTCGAGGAAAGACGTCCAAAAGCAGAAATGTTTCAGGACTGAAGCTCCTGTGATGTTGAAGGAGGTTTCTGTTGACGCGAATGACCAAGAATCATAAAACATGTTAGATTATTTACTATAATGTAGACTGGAATGCATGAATCTATAAATCTGATTTCAGGGTACAAACTGGTCAACAGGAGATCAGGTGAAAACAACTAATAACACTACTGACATTTTCAGCTGTACTTTGATTGTAATTTTTTCACTTTTCCAGTGTGAACACACTAATTGGACAAAAGTATGTGGACGACATCACAGCTGTAAGTCCCTCCTCCTACAGTGTTGTCTGATATATCAGGTCCCTCTGAACTGTAGGTAGAGGATCCAAACCATGAAAAACAGCCCAGGACTGAAAACACACAGAAATATCTGGCCTGCACCTCCACACATCCTCCACTAGAGGGTGCACACTGGCTCAATGTGATGTGTAACTCTCTGAAACCAGCTCTCTCTCCCCCCTCCCTCCCTCTCTCTCTCTCTCTCTCTCTACCTCCTGTTACCTCTGTTACCCCACTAAAAGCGTCATGGGGTTGCTGTAAACAAAGAGGCTTTAGAGGTGAATAACCCCAGCTGGGAGAACGTTCTGGCTGGACTCTCTTTGTGTTTTCGGGGTCACAGTGTTGTTCCAGTGAGCTGAGCGTCAGCACTAACAGCAGCTGGCATGCTCCAGGCTCTTACTGGCAAATCCCACTGAGTCATCAGCAGGCTGCACCTCTTTGTCCACAGGTTTAGCTGATCTCTGTTTACCCCCTCCCCCCTCCTCCCCCCGTACTCACATCTGTAGGATCGCCTGCGCTGACGCTCAGACGCTCCAGAGCGGGACACGTACAGGAGCACTTGAGAGAGTGTGTGCATGCATCTAAAGATCAATACCTCAGTAATCAAATGCAATGCAAATTTTTTTTTTTCATTTTTAACGTGGTTGCAAGCTTCTTAAAGACATATTGAGGTCTTCTGCTCTTTTTGCATGTTAATAGTGGATGTTTGTGCCATTAAATAGATGCAAGAATCCCAGAATACTCTCACCACAGGCCTCCGTCCTCAGTTTATCTGAGATATAAATGGTCGTTAGATGGAGTTCAATACAAAGACTTCTGTAAAACAACAGTGGATTTAATATATTGGATTAAGAAATCTTTGTCAAAGTATAAAAACACAAAGTAGTCGTTTTGCTTTGTTTTGTATCTGATTGTGTTTTAATGTATTTTATATCATTATATTATAAGATATCAAAATATAAATACAGCATAAATGTGTGGCCATTAAGTCACATGATCTTTGATCTTGAAGAATGACCAGCGTCCGTGACATGTTGTCACAGTACATCTGCGTAAAATGTTTTGTCATCATTTCTGTGTGACGTCTTGAATAATGGTTAAAACGTGAGGTCACCGTGACCATTGAAATTTGGCCACCAAAATCTAACACATTCATCCTTGAGTCCAAGTGAAAGTTTGCGCCAAATTTGAAGAAGTTCCGTTGCTGAGATATCGTGTCCAGGAGAACAGGACGGACGGAAACCTCCAGAACAATGAACCTCTGCCTCTGACTGTCGTGCAGACGCATTAAAACTCTCTCCATCTTTCTATTCATAGTCCAGTAAAGACAATACTCAGTGTCCATATTTCTTTCTTAGTAATATTACGGATTAATCGATCGATGGTCAGATTTCGGGAAAAACTTGCACATCCAGTTTTTTCATGCAGCTTTCAATATCTTGTAGAAACTGAGATCTCACACACTTCATTCAACACAGTGAAGGAATCAATACATCAAACTGTGACTGAAGACAGTCTGCAGGGACGGAAATGTCACTTGTGTTATTTTCATTAATGTTTTGAATGTAAAGGTAAACGGAATATTCTTTTTTTTTATAAGCTGCATCAAATTATTAGTAGCATCAATATGATATTTATTTTTACTAAGTCACCGTGTAGACCATGATTACTCCAGTCGATTTGTTTAATTAGTTTAAATTAATTTCAAAATAAAACTGAATCATGAACAGTTTGTTGGATGATTGTGTCTAAGGGCAAATATCATTTTAATCATTAGTGGTCGAGAGCTGACAGAGTTGAAGATCATGTTTTAATCACGGTGAACTGGGGAGCTCACTTTTTTTGCACGTGCTTCAAAGACAGGACTTACTTTGACTCTTGCAAAGATACTTTCACAGCTGCAAGAATACAGGCCTGCTTTCTTCCATTCTTCTATATTTTATTGGTACAATTTGCACACAGATAAGTCAAATAGCAAAACAGCCTACACACAAATGTATGAGCATTCAATCAGACACAAAGCACGCCAGGCTGCCTGCAAGGGTTGAAGTTACCCATCACAGAGTGAAGTTTGATTTGCGGTGCAGCGCCACCATGTTTTGATGGAGATGACAAGAATAGCATGCAGGTAGTTTTTTTTATTTGTTATAGTGATAAATCACTGTCATGCATTAGTGATACATTAGCATAGCTGAATTTTACACATGATCCCTGTTGATGAAGATACAAAAAAACAGAAAACGTGTGGCAAAATAAAACTGTTAATATTTTTGAGACCTCCAAAATTTCACAAATCATGTTTTCAGGGGAGCCCACGTCTTGTTGAGGGGAACCGAGCTCCCCCATAGTTATAATATCTTTGGCAAAAAATGACTCATACAAGGATGTATTTTCTGTTTTGCACTTTACTAAACAAGAAAGTGAAGCTTTGGCTCATGTCAGGGGCCACGTGTTTTGGCTGGAAGGGCCAGATTTGGCCCCACTACGGCATCATGATGATGACTTCTCTGTCAAATGTAAAAAGACTACGCCTCGTCTCAAAATCATGGATTCAAGTGTCGTCAAAAAACCTAAACCTTTTTCCATAAAACCACAGATCTCAGTCAGCCACAGACATTATTCACTCATCTCTACATTATTTTAAATCAACTGTGATTTTTCAAAAAGTCAAGAAGCAGCCAGAGTGAAATGAAAACGTATTTAATTCGTAGTCTCTGTGTAATTTATACAACCTCTGATGATCATGGGAGATAGAAAGACAGAACATGGAGGGATGAACATACTGAGCACAATCCTTTTTTATTAAATGTGCAAAGAACAGTCATGTAAAACGTGAACTCAGAGAGAGATGGTCTAAAAGTCTTGGACACGGCGGAAGGACCCCACGTTGGGGTTCATGGCCGCCCACTCGTTGAAGCGGCGGTACTCTCCTCTCTCCAGCAGGTGCTGACGTCCGCGGTAGTTGGGGAGCTCGTAGAAGACCCAGGCGCCCTCCTGCACCTGGGCTGAGTGAACCTCCCGCAGTTGCCAGCGCTCGGGCAGGTTGTTCACATCTTCAGTGCACTCCAGCATCTGACCGCTGAAGTCAGGACGCTCGTAGACACGGATCCTGAACACACTGGAGGTCTGCAACACACGAGCAAGGCTTCGGTTTATCTCTGCACAAGGGATATCGTATCAGTTACTTAAATATAAATGTTAAGTTGTGGAATAACTGTTAAACCATCTGGTGTGTAAGAGGCATTGCAACCTTTGACATGAGAGAAGATTCAGATTGTCTTATGAAGGTTACAGGAGCTTGTGTGTCTGAGATGTGCTTGTTGGAGACTGGTTTGTGTAATTCAGAGAGAAAGATGAGAATAACTAAGAAGAGACATCTACTTAAACTGATTGTTTTCTGTTTCCTGGTACCAGAACAAATACATTCATTTAAGATTCATTTAAGTTACTTTACTCTTCAAGGGGCGACCACGAGGCCACCATGAAAATCTGAGAAACACTGAAGATCTGAAGACAAAGCTAATGTTTGCTAATGTTCATGTAACATTTTCTTATATATTTCCATTTAAATCCCTTGTATCTTGGAAACTATATTTATAACTTAATTATTTCTTCTCCTAATTCCTGCTTATGAATTGAATTGCATGTAGTGGCGCACAGATGGTTGGGAAGCGCTCAAATCGCTGCTCAGGACAGTTGGTCATGTGAGAGTGCGTAACACTATATCTATTAAATTTGAGACATGAGGCATCCATGTTTGATTGGTTTCCAGGCACATCCGCACTGTGAAGACGGATATATTCCTTCCCCAGTCAGAATTAGGACTTTAAGATTGACATAAATTAAACTATATACTATAAACTATATATTACACAACACTTTTTACAAGTAGTCAACACAACACAACAACCCTGAGTCCTGTCTGTGGTTTAGGCAAGTGTAAGCCGACATGGTTTTGAAAGAGGAAGTTGTCAGAAAACACACGATGCATTCAGGATCAACATGTTGCTAAATACTGAAATGAACAGTTTCCTCATTATGTTCCCCTCAAATTAGTGGAATCTAAATGTGATTCCTAGGAGACAGGGTTGAAACATCACGGCTAAACGCACTAATGAAGTGTGTGTGTGTGTGTGTGTGTGTGTGTGTGTGTGCCTCATATGAATGACAAAGTGATGCCAAACTCACATTTCTTATGATCCTGCATGACCTGATGCTGTCGTTGTAGCCCATCCAGCGCTGGTAGTCAGGGTACTCCCCCCTGGTCAGGACGTACTGGTAGCCCAGGTAGTTGGGCCTCTCGAACAGAACCCAGGCCCCGCTCTCCACTCGGATGGAGTTGCAGTGGCTGAAGTGGGTGTTGAGCTCGGGACAGTCACTGTTGCACTCATAATAGCGACCTTGGAAGTTTCTGTCTTCGTAAAACACGATCTGTGGAAGGTGAAGGATGTTTCAGTGGACATTTTTAACATGTACTTTGACCTTTTCTGTCAAAAACATTTCATACGAACCATCGGTCTCAAGCATTATCTGCCTGTCTGCCTACCTTTCCCACACGGTCCATGTTTGGGCCTCACAACAAAGTTTGATTACTGTTTGTTTATCACACCTTTCACATACACAACATCGCCCACAGGCCCGGTCCAGATTTATATAACCAGTGTATGTGGGCACACTGAAATACGCTGCCAGGGGCATCATTGTTATTTTAATTGCCTCAGCATTTATATTTGCACAATGGCTGATGCTGCAATTGTTTTAAACATGCTCAGTGTTTACTCTCTCCTGCGACGACTGACCTTTTGATCCGTCAATGCCTGATTCCAGAAACAATTTATTGATCCAATTAAATTGTCTCCTCTGCAGCTGGTACCCGAGGCGGACGCGGTGAAGTTGGCTTGTGGCCACATAGCACACGGTGGTGCGGACTTTAACGTCTGTTAAAGGAGGGGACAGGTGTATTCAGATTCAGTCACGCTCCACCCTCCGTCCTGCATCCACACCTCAGTACACGGTCAGCTGACGCAGAGAGACCTGGAGGACGGAGGGCTCATTGTTCTGTATTAATATTAGCTGGTGAATGTGTTTACGGACAAATCACAGCAAAATTCATCAGTCAAAATGTGCAAGTGTTGAGGACACTTAACTCTCGCTATGTCAGTATTGTCACATCACGACAGAAAACTGGAAGTTTTTCCTATTTATCTGCACAGATTGATCCATCAATCAGTTTGGTAATTGATACCATGTTGAGCAACTATTTTGATAATAGGTTAGGATAATAGGATAATCGTTAATGTATTTTTTTCCAAACAAAAATGCAGAACATTTGATGGTTGCAGCTTCTCAAATGTCGATGCTTTTTCTTGTCTTAGGTCACAGGAAAAGGAATGAGTCAAAATAAAGAGGCAAAAGAAGCAATTTGAAGGCGTCACTTTCAGTGCCAGGAAACTCTTTTTTTCAAAACTATATTCTGTTATTTTAAAGGCCAAATGATTCATCAATCAATAGAGAATAGATTTATTTGTGATGAAAATAACGATTAGTTGCAGCCCTATGCTCATTTATATGTCCTACCATTGCTCTGGTTCTGGTTGTGGAAGAAACGCTTTACCGATTGCAGATTTGCTCCAGTTCTGATTGAAATACGGTTTAAATCGATTGTATTGAAGTGTTGCAGGCGAGATATTATTCTCATGTCAGGAAACATAACATATATATACATACATACATAGTAAATGATATGATTCAAGACTAGAGATGCTCTTTAGTCTTTCATTATTTCTGGCCACAATATATTTTATGCACCGTACAGGCATTTTCTCTGTTTCCTGGAAAGGAGGGAACATGTAGTCACAGGGTGGAGGTTATTTGTTTGTAGCACTGTGACCAACTGATGGTAAGAACAGTCTCTACCTGTCACCGTGATCTAATCTATGACCTCACAAAAGCCTCTGTAATTAGTGTAATATTTATATCAGTGAGGATAAACCAAATATTAGAAAACCCCCTCAGAATAATACAGAACAGTTCAACAGCAGCACAAACTGCAGCCTCCAGAATGATCGCACTGTTAAATCAACACCTCTTTAACACAGCCAATAAGAACTGAACATTTTAACCTTCATGATGGAGGTTTTATTGCAGGACTGTTGTATTAGATTGCATTAGTATTAGCTTTGTTGTTCCTAATAAACAGGTAAATCAGTGTTATTTGTCCATTATTTATTTTGTTTATATTATTGTTATATTTTCATTTAAACTTTCCTTTAAGTTTCTTTTCTTTTTGATATTATGAGCAGTTTTGAAAATCAGTTGAGGTGATATGTTCAATAGATTGTAAATGTCAATCGCACAATAAACACTTTATGACACATATTCCCCCTAATAAATAATTAATTGAATGATTTTATTATTTATTCTTATTTCTGTTAAATTTTATGAGAAAAGAAAATTTGAATTAAACTTCACACAGGCACAAACCAGTATTAGCATCAAAGAAATTTATTGCAGTGCATCACATTACATCAAACTTGTTGATGTTCATTTCTCCATGATTCTTCTGATGGAGCCCACGTTTGCTTTGAGAGCTCCCCACTCTGAGTGGTGGCGGTACTCGCCCTTCTCCAGCAGGTACTGGCGTCCGCAGAAGTTGGGATGTTCAAAGAAAACCCAGGAGCCCTCCAGGACCTTGCAGGATTGGACTTCTTGTCTGAGCCATTTCTCAAGGATCGACTTCATGTTTTCTGTCAGCTCCAGAGTCTGACCGTCAAAGTTTGGCCGGTCGAAAAGCTTCAGCTTGTACGGCCCTTTAGCCTGAAACCAACAGAGTCAAAGAGCCGTGTTCAGTTTGACGTACAGTATAAGTGACACTGGATTCTGAGGGTGTGTTTATTTTCTGCTTGATGACTTACATTTTTGACGATCCTGCAGGATCGGACGCAGTCGTTGAAGCCCATCCAGTGGCGGTAGTCATTGTACTCCCCTGGGCCGATGACATACTGGTAGCCGGTGAAGTTGTTGCGCTCATACATAACCCACCAGCCACCCTCTACCTTGACCGAGTTGCATCTGCGGATGTAGCCATGCAGGTCGGGCGAGTCCCCTTTGCAGTCGTAGGACTTTCCCTGGAAGTCCCGGTCCTCGAAAAACACAATCTGGAAAAGATATGTACACACAAGATGATATACTTCAATAAACGTCCATTCAAATTCTCAATGACAAAAATTCTGACATCTTGTACCAGATTTAGAGAAAATTAGCTCCTGCAGCTACGGTATAAGAGCACATTAAACTTCTCACCTTCTCCATGACTGAAGTTTAAAATGGTTAACCCAGTGAGCAGCGCAGTACTCTTTATACATGGCAGAAACAATACTGCCAATTCCATGGTTAGCAGTGCATGTAACAGTTATTACAATTCAAATTCATCTAGAGTCTGCCCATTGTTCTTACTCACTGAATTGCCTTTCCACAAACAATAGTTGTTTGGCGGTGCCAAGTATCGAAACCTCAGTCGCTGCTCAGTCCAAACTGATCTGAACCGCTGCAGTAAATGTCTTTTATGTAAAGCTTTTATGTAAGCCATAAACACTGTGCTGCGTTTTATGTATGAAAAGTGCTATTCAGATAAAATTTTATAGTGTTATCTATATAATTTCTGCACAATATAATGTCAATAAGCGGTGCACACGTGTCCTTTAGAATATTACTTCTGCATTCATTGAATATGCACAAAGAGAATAACTCACAATTCATAAAATTTAACATGGAGTTCGCAGTTTATTAAAACAATAATGTTAAACAGCAGTGATGAAAACTGATGACACGGGTAACTCAAACTCATATAAAGACAAACAATCAGGTTGCCCATTAATTAGATTCAGTTTTGTCATTTATATCCAGTTATACTTCACTTCTTGAACCTTTAAAAAAAGACTAAAACATCTTCTAGCCCAGAGGTTAATTATACAAACCAACAGTGTAGATGTAATGTTGTTTTGTGCGTCACAACTTGACATTATTCCCTCTTTTGTAACATCTTTTGCACAACCATTATCTCTGTAGGCAGTGCAGGGTAAATCTTTTTCTGCTGTCCCCATTATTTACTTCACAGAGTTAATATGCAGTGGGATCTCTAAATACACCGCTTATAGTTTTAATAAACACTGAATCACATAAACACAATAAATACTATATAACTGACCAGGTCTGTGAAGTATTTCAGCAATATTTGACCCTGCCAGAAGAAATTTATAGTGATGAATCATGAAATATTTGCACTGGAATTCATGCAACCCACCAGTGTAGTATTTGGACAACCAAGACAACATGTCTGAATGTTGCTGATATTGTTTTGATGTTGAATGTAAATCAGAAAGACCACCGTTGCCATTTAGCCTGATGCATCATCCATCAGCACCACAGTACAAACCAGTGTGGAGTGTGATTCACTGTTCAATGAAAGGGTTTTTGCAAAGGGATATTTTATATTTCATAAGAGTTAAAGTGAATATTTAAAGATAATGTTGTCACAAACAGTACAACAATCAATTGTGCTGAAAGGTTGTGTTGATACTATATCAAATTATAGTATAATAAGCAAATAAACAATAAACAGAACATTTCTAAACTCATTTTATTTCATTGTGTGTTTGCAGCAGAGTCGATTGACTGGTGCACTTATGAGACACAGTACAAGTTTCTGTTGTGTATGTATAATACCTTTTGAATTAAGACATTTTGAAGTCTATATACATCACAAAATTGGATCTGTGCAGGCATCAGTGTGGTTCACTAACTGGCAATATGTTCATGCCAAAATGTTTAATGTTAATGAAGTACCAGTTACCTGACACTTCTTTCTGACAATTCTTTTCTGATTCTGTTGTATAGTTTCTTACTTTGTGATAGGGCTACCCGTATATGCCCATGTTTAGTATGATCTGACATTCAGTCAGTCTGCCTTGAGACGTTCATTGTGTTTAACAACTGTACAGGTGGACACAAGAATCCAAGACTGAAAGCTACTGAGGTGTGAGGTAACTTTATAGGAGAGAACACAGACAACTTTGTTATGAGTTGGAAGTACTTTTATTCATTTGAGTGCAGTGCTCAGGGCTCTGGGGAGAAGGACAAGTGTCCAAATGGAAAAAGCAGGTGGAAGACTGATGGGTTCTCAATCATTGGTTACCTTCCGGAACCCTGAACTTCTTGAAGGGTTCTAGAACTTCCTCAAGATTCCAGAACCTTAGCGGAATTTTGTTTGCCGTAGGGCTTTGGAACCTTGCAGGCGTTCTAAGAACTCCCCTTTAGAATTCTAGAACATTGGTTTCCCCAGCATTCAAACAATTTATTTTCAGGGGTTGCAGAACCTTGCATGGTGACTGCTGTTCTAGAACTCTTTGATCATGCGGAAAGATCCCACAGCAGGGGAGGTGGCGCCCCAGTCTGTATAGTTGGGGTACTCTCCACGTTCCAGGAAGTACTGGTGTCCTTGGTAGTTGGGCTGCTCGTAGAGGACCCACGCACCGTCCATCACCACACAGGAGTGGAACTCCCGGA